GAAGAAGATTTTCAAAGATTTTTCCTATATATTTTTTTAAAAAACTTATTCCCCATTGTGGCCCCGCCCTTCCCCCGGGTGTCATGATTTGAACAATTTAGAATCTACACTACCCCAAGATGCTTCCACATAAGATTCAGCTTTACTGGCCCAGTGGTTCTTAGAAGAAGATTTTTTAACCCCTATTTTTGCCTTTTCTCTACCCCTTCCCTGTCCCTTCATTTTAATAATTTAAATTCCCCTTCACCCCAAGGATGCTTTGTACCAAGTTTGGTCAAAATTGGCCCAATGGTTCTTGAGAAGAAGTTGAAAATGTGAAAAGTTTACAGACGGACAGACAGACGGACGGACGGACGGACAGCTAGACGGACGACGGACAAAATGTGATCAGAAAAGCTCACTTGAGCCTTCGGCTCAGGTGAGCTAAAAAGAGAATCTATTGAATTTATGTGTTTCACCTTCAACTGTTATCTACCAAATATTGACATGTTCATAGTCTTTTCATGCCATATGGTCATTTACATTCCCCTAACCGCAATATATTTTGTTCTGTTTGAATTTGGTTTTCTATTCCCCCCCCTTCATTTTTTTTTTAAATCTCCCTAATAATAAAAATTAGGCAACCCCTCATCTATGCAATGCTTTGATCATAGTGAAAATTTTCCTCCAGAAAATATCTGAAATGTCCACATTAACTGTAAATTTGTATGAACTATAAGTAAGAATTCTACCATTTCCTATATAAGTAAGTGACCAGAATGCTCCTACCTTTCTCTGACTTTGACCCAGCCGGTTTTTCACTCGATGTAAAGGCTCCAGAGAAATCAAAATCTTCCCTTGTAATTCTCCAGAGTCTCTCCTCTATCTCTATAAATTAGCGGCATCCTTAACATTGTTCCCAAGGTCAGTGGAATTGTTCTGATCTGTGAAAAAGTTAAATAAAAACATTTACAAAACCTCTCCTAGGTAATCTAAATTTAACTGATGAATATTGTAAATAAAGCAAGTTTTTGAGGAATCATTGAATAATTGTTAAGTGAAGACAAGAAGATCTTATTAAAACAGAACTTCCTGTTTATATAAACAATTTCTTTTTGTTTGATATACTTTTTTTGACTAACTTTCTAAATATTTGACTTACTTTCAATTTGACTTACTTTCTTTCTGTTTGACTCACTTCTATTTGACTTACTTTCTATTTGACTTGCTTTCTGTTTTGACTTACTTATTCGTAGAATGAAAGTCTCTGGCGTCCAGGGTGCCCCTCATTTATCTTCTTCGACTTCCAGTTTATTTACAATTTACTTTCTGTTTGACTTACTCTCTGTACCCTTGTAGTATGGGTTCTAAAGATGATTATTTTTATGCGCCCTGATCGATAGATCCGAGGCATATATTGTTTTTGTCCTGTTTGTTTGTCTGTTTATCTGTTTGTCTGTCTGTTGTCAACTTTAACCTTCGCCATAACTTTTGAACCGTGAGATATAGATACTTCGTAATTGGTATACATACATCACTAATTATTAAGTTCTTTCAAATGATACCAAGGTCAATGACCTTGTGATATTGACTGTGACCCTTTTGCTAAAAATAGCTTTTTCGAATTTTCGCCATAACTTTGAACCATGAGAGATGGAGATTTTATATTTGATATATAAAAAAATTTTAAAAAACAGAAATTGGCACTTTCTCTTTGACTTACTTTCTGTTTGACTATCATTTCTGATTTCAACCTCTCTGTTTGACTTACTCTCCGTTTGACTTACTCTCTGTTTTATTTACTTCCTGTTTGACTTACTCTCTGCTTGACTTACTTTTTGTTTGACTTACTCTTTGTTTGACTTACTTTCTGTTTGACTTACTCTTTGTTTGACTTACTTTCTGTACTCATGTCATATAGATTCTGTAGGCTGTCATTTCTAATTTCTGCATTTTCTGTTTCTCCCTCTTCCTCATCAAATGCTATCAACCTGTAAGAAGAAAAGAAATGTCTTTAACTTGAATAATAAATTTTTTTGGGGGGGTGTAGAGTGAGAATAAAGAAACAACAACAAAGAAGAAATATTCTGAAGCTTATTATGCCAGTATAATGCAACACATATATTTTGCAGTAAACACATCAGTGAGGTATATAACAAATGCAAATACAGTAAACAAAGAATATCATCTAAGTATACATACATGTACATGGGGCTTATTAATTTTCATCAAAGCAAAAGAAGGGGTTCTAATCACATTTGGTTTGGAAACCCTTGGTTTGGTTTGTAAAGTTGAAAATTAAAAATCACAAATTTCAGGCCATTTTCAATTTTTCTTTTACTAAGTATTTCTTCTGACCAAATTACACAGTCTGTACTTCTGACCTATGCACTAAATCTAATTCTCAACAAAATTAAGACTAATTCTCTATACAAAACCACAGGCAGCCAATAAAATGTTAGCCTTAAAGTGGTGGTTTTGAGTAGAAGGAAAGAGAAAAGGTCCACCTTATTTTATCATTTTAAAACAAAATACTGACAATTTCTTCTATTCTTACTTAAAATTAACACTCTTACAGAAATTAAAACCTGGAAAAATGATCACTAAAATTTGTTAGTTATTAGTGCACATGAATATCTCTACCATTAGTTATGAGTAAAGAATGTGTTAATCTTCTGAGTGAGGACGATATAGAACTCTAGTTTATAGAATCTAGATGTAAGAGTCTTGATTACAGGTGCTTTTAGTTTCACACACATGATACCTATTATCTTCACTTGATTCTGAACACATTTCCTGTATCTGTGAAGGGAGACTACTCTCAGTGTTAGCATTCTGTCCTAGATCAGTGCTAGGATAGTTGTCTCCCTCTCCTTGAAAGAAATGTCCACACTCCGGACAAATCCCCTCGCTTGAAAAAATAAAGATTGCTTTACCGTTTACATACTTTAAGCTAATATTCTAGACAAAAGAGTCACCCAGATAGTCCATTTATTCAAATTAAACTGAAGTTGATCTCTGTATGTATTTCCATTAAAGAGAAGTGTATTGGTGTATTAATCTTCCTATAAATATACATGTACATATTACATGTATATAAATATAAAAAAGATACAGAATTAAGCCATACAATAGTCTATAAGCCAGATAAGATTTCCTGTGACCCACCCTGCCTGTTATTACCTCTGGTCGTCCTCCTCTGTGTACCCTAAGACAAGTGACTGTGACTCTTCATTTGACTTTCTACTTGTGCACTTTTTACAGCTTAACAACAAAATACAGACAACATAAACATTACAACAACAATATAACAAATCATGGGTAAGCACAGACAGGAATTTCCTAAGCAAAAGCATTTCACCGTCATGCAATTTACACTACTATGTATTAACAATTACTAATTTTCTACTGGCATGCAATATATCATTATTTTGAAACTGGATTTTAAAAATTTTTGGAAACAATAAATACCTGATAATTGATTTGCTACAAATTTTTTACCCAATCCCTTTTTCTGCTAACCAATTGCTATCTTGATGACAGCTACGTACACATACATGCACTATTTCCCGGACACTTACTTGCTGGGATCAAACTCCTCGTCAGTGGTGTCTCGCTCTGCTGGTTCCGATTTTGACGTTTCCTCCGATAACTTTTTACTGGGTTCAGCCAGTTCCTAAAACAGAAAACCAACACTTTAATTTTGTGGGGATACATGTAAAATCAAGCCCTAATGGAGCTAAGATTTAATCAGAGATGAATCCACAAACATTTGGAATACAATAATATTGATACATGTATTGATACATGTACCATCAGCATAACCCTTTTTGGAAAAGTTTTTCTTGTGCACATTTTTAGTCTTAGATTTTGTCCAAACTATAACCCCAGTGTCCATACTTAAAACAAAAGGCCCATGGGCCACAACCCTAACCCAAGTCAATATGACCATTCTGTTCTTCAACAACAAATTTGTTCCCTCTATATAGTAATACCTGTTAACTTTAATAGCTAACTGTGACCCCCCCCCCCCCCCGTGACCATACCCACCTGGATAATGATTTAAACAAACCTGAATATACACAACCTAAGGATGCTTCCATCTCAGTAGGGTTAGTTGTAATTTGGCCATTCTTGAAAAGATTTTTTAAAAATGTTTTTATATACTGGTGTACTTGCATTTACCACGTACAAGTAAACCTTTGATCCCCTATAGTGGCCAATCCTAGCAATGGGGGGTAATGAATTGAATTAACCTGAATTACACTACTGTAAATCACTTTTTATTTACGCGTAATTACGCGAGATAATGGGTTCGCAAAAATTTAATTCTCGCGTATAAAAGTATTCCTTACGATTATATAGAGGAATAACAACTATTCGTGAAAATTATGTTTCCCTTACAAAGTGTCAATGCCAATCTCGTGAAAATAAGGTGTCGCGAAAATTTAGTGATCTACAGTATCTCAGGATGTTTCCAAATAAATATGTATAATAATTGCATTGCTATTATTGAGAATTACTGAGAAGAAAATTCACAAGCATTTTTTCCCTGTGTAAAAGTTTCAACTATCAAAACTGCTTTTTAAAATTAAGCATTTATTTCAAACTTTCTTTCTGATCTGTCTTACTTTGATGATGTTGAATTCATAATATTGGTATCCTTTAAAGCTTTCTGCCACAGCTGTCATGGTGCGTGAAGTTTTCTCCCAGAAGTGGAGCAGCGTAGATTGGTAATTAGCGAGGACGTGAGAGAACATGTTACAGCGAGATGCGGCTAACAGGTCCACCTTCTGCATCACATCCAACTTCAGCTTGTCAAACTTGGCCTTCGTCTTTCTAACCTGGGCCTGCACCTGATTGAAAAGGAAAAGGTTATTCTAGATTCCTTATTTTTCGCGAGTACTTATTCTCACGAATTGGCTCTTCAACGTCAAATCGCAAGAATAATAATTCGCGAATGGATGATTGATCAAGAGATTTTACATATTTTTCAGCACCAAAAAAATAAAAGCGAGTAATTTTATTTCGCTTTTGGTGCTTCTCATGAAAATACATGCTAATTAATTCGTATAATTATGTGTATAATTAGGAATCTACAGTATTCAATTTTCTTGATTGTTAATGTTACATGTACTTTTACAAGCACAAAAATGATGGTTTATAATTTTTTCCCCAGTTCAGAGACTAGCATGAATATGTATACAGTGAAATATCAGTATCTCAAATTTGAGCGGACTTGGACAAAATTTCCAGATATCCAGCAGCAGTTTGAGATATCCAGAGTTGACTTCCAATGTCCAATCAATAACTTCTTGACTCCCGTATCTTTAAATGTAATATATTTGTGTGCTGAATGCTTTGACCTACTTTTCGGAACTTTTCCAGTTGTTTGTAGGTGTCAGGATCGAGTTCCTCAGAGACATTCTTCATCCACAGTAGGGCCCCCCTGTACTCCGTCCGGGCTGCCTCCATCCTATTTATAGTCATCAGAGTGTCAGATATGGCACGGTATCGGAAAGTCTCCACTTCCTGGTACAGACGTACTAGAGGCACTCGTAGTGATAACCTGTCAAATCAAAGTACTGAAAGTACTGATGGGAGTTGATTATTAAATTAATTCGATGTATGATTGATTGATTGTATATTTTTTAACGTCACTCTCGAGAATTTTTTTACTCATATGGAGATGCCACCACTTGCCGGTGGAGAGCTGGAATTTTTTTTACCTGTACTCGGCACCCATTGAGCAGAGAGGGATCTTTTTCGAGCCAGCACCTGCTGCGACACGGGACCTTGGTTCATACGGTCTCATCCAAAGGACCGGTCTCCAAGTCCTTCGGTGGGATTTGAACCCGAATTCGATGTATGTAACCTTGCCCACTTTTCAAATTATACTTATATTAATGCTTCTTGATTAAGGTATGTGAGAAGCAAATGCATAAGCTAGAGGATTTCATGATCCTACAGAGTCAAAGCGGTATGGTTTGTTCTACTGTAAATCACTTTTTATTCACGAGAACTTTATTTTCGAGTAACTAAGCGAGACAGCGTGATCGCGAAAATTTCTTTCTCGCATATATATAAGTACTACTCTTTACAATTTTATAGATCAATAACCACAGTTCGTGAAATTTTTTGTCATGCAAATAAATAGTTACATGTAATGACTATCTCGCGAAAATATGGTGTCGCGAAAATTTAGTGATCTACAGTAATATGAAAATAACTTGAATGATATGCGAAATCTTGATAGATTAACCGTTTTCCTCACAGATTTCGTCCTTATCTTAGATGAAGGTATGGAAATTGTACTTTCAGTATCTAAGATAAAAAGATGTTTTAAGATGAAAATAACATTCAAGACAAATTTGAAAGAAAAAGAATTTGTATAAATTCAAATTAAATATAAATATATAAAATTAGATATATATATTTGAATTTGTATGTATTTGGTCTTTTTTCCCAAAAAGTGTATGCACTAGTATTTCACAGATTTGTGTTAGAGGGAAATTGGATACCTCAACATCCATCCGCGTCCTCAATGTGCCAACAATTTGCAATAATCTGTTTCCACTCTTTATCTTGCATCGTCAAACAGTCATCTTATCACGCAAATTGACTTTTACTATACTGTATGACTACACAACTTTCCATAAACAGAAGAAATTAGCAAGCTTTATATTGCGCTTCCAAACATGTATAGTTTGTGTAGTGACACATTCAGTAATATTGTCATTGAGGAAAAAGAAGTAATCGATATTATATCAATTCTTCATCATGTTCATGTGAACAAAGCCATAGGTCCTGACTGTATTAGTCACAAAATGTTAAAATCCACTATTTATACTGTTTATAAACCACTTACACTGCTGTTTAACAGGTCTCTATCAGAAAAAAAGTTTCCGTTTTTTTTTTTTTTGAAAACTGCTCATGTTATTCCTTTGTTTAAGAAAGATGATCCCTCCTTAGTTTCTAATTATAGACCTGTGTCGTTACTATCTTGTGTTAGTAAAATTATGGAGAGAATTATTTTTAAACATATGTACAATTATTTCCATTACAATAACTTATTTTATCGATATCAGGCGGGTTTTTTACCAGGTCATTCAACTGTTTATCAATTACTAGAAACGTATCATAGTATTGTTCAAAACATTGATGAAGGTAAATCTTGTTGTATGGTCTTCTGCGATCTTTCAAAAGCTTTTGACAGAGTTTGGCATAAAGGACTTCTTTCTAAATTACAAACTTACAGTATATCAGGAGATCTTCTTCAGTTGGTTTTCTAGTTACTTGTGTAAAAGGTCACAAAGATCTGTTATCATCAAAACTAGATATTTTTGCAGGTGTACCCCAAGGTTCTGTTTTAGGACCCCTATTATTTCTGATATAATTATGTAAATGATGTTGCTGTAAATATGTTATCATTGTGTAGACTTTTTGCTGATGACAATTCGCTTCAACATTCTTCATATAACATACTCGATATTGAATATAACTTAAATCATGATTTACATATTCTGGAACTTTGGTCAAATCAGTGGCTTCTAAAATTCAACCCTTCCAAAACGAAAGTAATTTTTTTCAAGAAGAAAAACATATCTGTTATGTCTAAATTATTTTTTAAAGGTGACAGACTGGAGTGTGTCCCTGTTCATCGTCACTTAGGTCTGTTGTTATCACAAAACCTTAGCTGGACTGAATACATTGATAGCATTGTAAACAATGCTTATAAGAAACTTGGGCTTTTGAAAAAAAATTAAGTATAAAATCGGCAGGACACACCTTTCAAAATTGTATGTCACATTTATCAGACCCTCGCTCGAATACACTTCAGTTGTTTGGGATGGCTGTTCTAATAATGACGCCGAAAAGCTTGAAAGATTCAATTATCTGCAGCTAGAATTGTTACAGGACTTCTAATTTTTGTGTCAAGAGAAATACTTTACTTTGAAACTGGCTGGGAAACATTAAAAGTTAGGCGCTATAATGCAAAAATGACCACGGTGTACAAAATTCATAATGGTAGTGTACCTGAATACTTAAATGACATTGTTCCAAACAAGCGTGAAAACATTTCAAAATATAATACCCGTAATAAGGAACAATACGCTGCCCCAAGATGCAGATTAGAATTATATAAAAGGTCTTTTATTCCTGATGCTATGAAACAGTGGAATTTACTAAAGACAGAAACAAGGGAAGCTATCTCACTCAATGCATTTCGAAAAAACCTAACTACAGAAGTAAAAAATCCCCCAATTTATTTCTCATTTGGCAAACGTTATACCAATATAATCCATACTAAACTTAGACACAACTGTATACTTAACTATGATTTACATAAAAGAAATATTATTAATAGCCCATTATGTTCATGTGGAAAGTATGAAGATGTTTATCATTTCTTTTTTGCCTGTAGAAATTATCCAAATGCTAGGAATAATCTTTTTAATCACCTGTTTTTACTTGATGAATTGGTCAATATTGACACAAATTTGTTATTATGTGGTGATGTAAATTTGCCTCTAGAAACAAACACATATATTTTTGCTGCTGTGCATAAATTTATTGACGAATCCTGAAGATTTTAAATTGTTATATTACTGAACAAATATTTCACTTGTATCTCTTTTGCATTTAAATTTCTATGTACTACATGTATTTTAATGCATGACATATGGTTATGTTTAAGGAGAGGAACTCGTAAGTTGAAAGAACTTGTTTCCAATCCTTTTGTTTATACGATCAAATATATTCAAAACATATTCCACGCTTCTATATTACGCTTTTCATTTACTATCATTCCGGACACAAAGTAAAAGGCAGAAGTTATATTAATCCATACAGTAGGTCACTTCTGCAGCAATGGGGAGATCTTATCTAAAGCTACGTATCTAGAGTATTTCAAGATCGCAAGCACACACAATGCCCGTACTCCAGCATGCTAGAGGTTCACGGCGAGATACGTTCGACTTGGCGCCGCGTAACTAAGGAGGGTAGGGACGTTAACCGAGGCTCTAACTTGTAGGAGTAACAATGCCCGCTGAGTTATCAATCAGCCTAGCCAGGTGCACACATACACATGTATTCGTAAACAAAACAGCTAGCCTAGACATGAAGTTTTGTTCTCTGTATTCCAATTTGACTTTAAATTTTATAGTACATCTGATTTGGGGGGAAACCCCCCCCTCCCTTTTGGGCAAATACGGACAGGAGAACTTCTGGAGGACACTGTTTTCTGAGGACTCTGTGTTTTCTGTCGGAGCGCTGATCTGACGAGGAAGCTTCTGAATGCAGTCCTCACATAGACTGTGTAGGCACGGCAACAGGCAAGGGTTCTGGTAGTCATGGCAACAGCTGGAACACTTCAGGAAGTTAGAGTCCACCAGTTCAGCCAGAGTTTCCTCAGTATCTTCCATTCTGTCACTGTACATGAAAAGAATGAGCACTGAATTTAGTTATGCATGCAGTGTTAACAGATTTTAAATGCACAACTGTGCTCACTTTAGAATTATGCTCTACAAATCTTAGTCTATGGAATACAATGTCAATAATATCCTCAGATCCTAGTACATGTAAGGTGATAAATGGAGATTAAAAAGATAAGGCATATTGGATTTAGTTTAGCTATAAGTTCAGAAGTTTTCAATTTAAATTAATCATTTATCTTTTTTTATTTGTATACAATATATATTTCAGTGTTTACAGAATATTTGAACAAAATAAACCCCCCACTGTAAGAACTTATTGGATATGTTTGTACTTTGTGACTGGAAATTAGCAGTGCCAGTTTACCAAACATTGATTATTTAATTGTCTGGGTGTCAGGAAAGAGTTGTCATATTTCCTGCTCCAAGTCAATATTCATCCCCTGAGAGCTCTAACAAGAAGGCTATTACATTCTTTGTGTTTTAGGGTATTTGTGTTATCGGGGTGGAGATCATCATTAAATCAACTTTTTCCAATATTTCTTTGGTGATTAAACATGATTTGTAAATGTTGGTATGTTTGTTTAAAGTACTGTTTTAGAAATGCTCCTTGTTTAAAATAACATGGTCGTGATTTTTGCATACAAATGTATGTTATGTATTTTACATACATTTAACTTGTTGAAGCTTATTTGAAATTTTAAATCTGCATAACCATTTGAACAGATGATTTTTTTTTCTTAAAAGATTCATTTTGTTTTTCAAAACAATATTGACTTTAATTAGATTAAATTATTACATGAGGAATAGTCTTATACTAATAAATAAGGAAAATACGAGTAAATAGACAAAAAAAACAATTTATTCAAAGCAATTTGATGAATCTAGTTTATCTTACCTATTGGTATATATGTCTATTTAATTCCGTCACCTATCTCTATTTGCTGTTTCTATCTGATGCTGAATTGTCCAGCCAGCCCTTGGATCTGATATTCTGCTGACTCTATGACTCGTCAGGTACAACTCTGACGACCTGCGATCACCAACAGCGATCCTGACAACTAAATCCGTAAACTGCTATATAGTCTGCTCTCATTTAAATCTACCAAAATTGAATTCACTTTTTTTATTTCCTTTCTAGCATTTAAATTACTCCTACTTATTTTGTTCCTACATGGTATTCAGACATTGGGGTGGAACCTGTCAATGGTTTAAAGCTGGAGATGATTTTCTGGGCATTGATTGGGTCATGATCAGATCAAATTGACGGCTCATAATGACATTTAAGTCAGATACAAAAAAGAAGTATTGATCCATGTACAGCTATTTTAATGTTATCTCACACTGGTTGTCATATGTATTTTTGGAATTTTTTTATCAACACAGAGATGGAATTTTTTAAATAAATGTGCATTAAAGGTTTTTTTTTTAAATTTTATTAGCATTTCTATCCATTGTCACCTGCTCTCACTTGTAACTGAATGAATATTAAGTCGCGTAAATTTATTACAAGACTGAAGACTAGATACCTCCTTATAAAATGAATTTCTAAAACAAAATAGATATTTCTGATTTTTTTTTTTACAAATTATATTTGAGTTACTAGTGAAGTGCACATTTACACATATTTATAAGTTCTGTGGTGTTGCACTTTGGTCTACAGGTAAACTTTGCATGTTGAGGTAAATCCATTTAATGAGGATAAATCATTTAAGCCTCTAAAGTTTCTTATTTTCCC